GGGGCCCTTCGCCGCGCCCAGAGATCTGCATACCGGTCAGTTCATATACGTCGACTGCACGGAGGAGGAGAGGGCCATGCTGCCCACGACCATCGGATCGCAGTTCGAGGCGGAGCGTGCTCTGGCCGAGCTGAGGACCGTGAGTCGCGTCGTCGGTGACCCGCGTGATTCCGAGGAGTACACGTACTGGGAGACATCCTCGCATGACACTCTCGCCTACGCCTTTTACAGCGTGCCGGATCAGTACAGGAATGTCCCAGCAGTGAAGTCCGCCTCGCGCATTTTCGACCAGATTCCTGACGGCCAGCTCGTGCGACCGGACAAACCGGAGCCTGCGGTTCTCCGCCTCAGCGCGGTGAAAGGCACTGATGGCACCCGGAGGAACCTCGAGAGGCTGAAGGAGGAGTCCATCAAGAAAAACGTGGTCATCCTCGGCGCCAGGAGAGGCGAAGATATCGCCCCCAGGATCGGAAACACGATCGCTACTCTGTGCGCCAAAATCGGGGACATTGCCCGATTCCTGGAGATGGGAGTGAGATCCAGGGCAGGGCCTATCCTCCCGACCAAGAGTGATCCTGACCTGATGATCCAGGCCATTGTTCCCGCACCCGAGGAGCTTCTGGACTACTTCGCCGACGAGATCCGTCAGAAGGTGAAGGGTAGAACGGGCGCCTCTTCGCACTACTACAGGAGAGCATGCGCGGAAATACGCGACGCGCTCCGTGGAACAGCTGTGCAGCCTGGAAATGCAGGTGCAGTCAAGGACCCAGAGTTGGAGGCCTCGTCTGCCAGCGGGCAAGGGAACGTTACTTCGGTGATACAACTGAAGAGGTTCCTGAGCCACTACTTCGGGACCAGCGTCGAGTCCGAGGATGCCTTTTCTTCGTACCTCCTGTCTTCCTTTCTCGAGGATGGGGTGGGAATGTTCGAGATCATCATCACCGTCATTCGTGACAAGGAGCGTCGGTTGCTGCCTGGTTCCGCCCGCATAGCGGCGGTAAGGTCGCTTGAGATCGGATCCGACACTGATTACCGGGCATTTCGTGAACGATACCAATACATGCTCTACGAGAGCCCTGTTTGTCTTCCTATCACCTCCAAGGTGGTTCCTAAGACGCTCTACAAGGTGGTGCCTCTCCGAATGTATCGGCTCTACGTAGAACGTGGGGCGATCATTCGGGGTGGGCGAGCTCTGATCGAGCTCCTTCCCTCTCGGCCGGATGAGTATCAATCCCTCCGCGATCACGGAGAGTGCCCCAACGACACTGTCGACCGCATCACCGACAGCAACGTGACGGAGCTGCACACCTCGGGTCGACGCCAAAGGAGCGATCCCCGATATGTGGTCATGGCTATCGATGCACGTTTCTTCTCCATGGAAAATGGGGGCATGCATATTACTCGTCAGGGTACCTTTGCGTCGCGCGAGAACATCGCGATCGGGTACTGGAGATGCGTCTACTTCAAGGAGGACTGCTCCATCATTTACCTGAGGCCTTGGTGCTATCCGCCCAACTTCCTCAACTCCTTGAGTGATAACCCGAGGAAGTGTCGGGACGAGATGGAGAAGTACCATCAGATCACCAAGACGGAACATGCCCGCGAGGTGGTGTCCGTTCCATGCCATAGGTGCATGACGGCCCATCCGGTCGGCGCTCACCTGTGCACCGCCTGCTACCTTCCCATCTTCTACGATGGCGTCCTGCCCACCGGAGACACGAACGGCGGCCCTCGCACGATAGCGAGCACTGACGGGTTGGTTCCTCCCTGGCTGGCAAAATACGAGGGCTTCGTCCCCGCTCTGTGGAACAACTCAGACGCCAACGCCATCGGAATGGCCCTCTACTCGCAGAGTCCCGCCGTCGATGCCCGGTCCTTGTTGATGTCTGGGATGCGGCCTCCTAAGTACCTTGACAAAGAGGACGTGGATGGCATTTTCCGGAAACTTCACGACTCGCTCCGAGACGAAGTCCTTGACGGCAAATACCGTGACACGGTCGACAACAACGTGGAAGAGTGGGTAGCAAAGGCGATCCTGGTAAGGGGTCTGGCCTTCAACGGGAGCTCCGTCCCCGAATTCTTCGAAGAATATGAGGGATATGCGGCTGAGTGGGGCAGACGCCTAACCACCGCAAACTTCAACGCCAACCGGTGCGGTTTCTACACGTCCTACTACATTCTTGAGGCCCATATCATTGGGCTGAGAACAGGACACCTTTCTCCGATACTCCCCAACGATGTGTCCGGGGAGGGATTCAAGTTCCAGGTGGGGCTGCTCGCACAGCACTGCGGGATATTGCAGGCCATGCGGAGAAGGGCCGGATTCGATCCTGCCGCGCGCCTCAAACGGGCTATGGACACGATACGGGAAGGCATTAAGAAGGGGTATGTCTACACCCTCAACGACCTCAGCAGTATGGACGATCTGATCTACCGGACGTCCACCGTTGCCTACGACACCTGCTTGGCCGACCGTCCTCAAACCCAGGATGACATCAAACAGGAGCTATCCGACCCTGTACCAAGGAAATACCGCTTCCGACCCCGCGATCGCCATCGACCCGGAATTCGCCTTACACCAGGCCCCGGCGTGAAGGACGAAGACGAGCCCGACTTTGCTGGATCAGCGGAGGATGAGCTGGGATCGGATGGTTCTTCGCACGAAGATGACGAGAAGCCTGACGACCTTGACGAGCCCATGGGCGACGACGAGGAGGAGATCCCTCCCCCTCCGCCACCGCCCCCGGCTCCTCCTGCGCCGCCTGTCCCAGTAGAACCGGAGACTCCCGTGGTGCCGCATGCAGGCGTCAATTCTGGCGATGCTGTGCCAACTCCTCCTCCTCCTCCTCCCGCTCCCATTGCGGCAGGCGTTACTACGACTGGGGATCCGTTTGAGGAAGAGGACATGGCCATCAATACTCGTGTCCCTGACACCGAGTCCGAGCTGGAGGGTGAGTCCGACCAACCCAAGGCCAGAAAGACATCTCGCGGTCGGGTCCCCGCGCCCGAAAAAGGGCAGGGGGGCGTTCAGGTCCCGCCTAGCGGGCAACCCAGCTCTAAGAGCATGGCCCAGCCTGCCCGCCCATCCCCGGTCCCCGCGAGAAGCGGTGTGGAAGGTGGGGAGAGAAGGGGCAGGACTAAGGGTTTCTACACCCAGAAGGATCCTTTTACCGGCGAGGACGCGACTCCCCGAGTTCGTCTTCGATCGGGCGGTCCCGGAACTCCTGCGTCCCCACCACGGGATGCCACCGGTTCCTTGGGCGGCCATCGCGGCTATGACCCGCGTGATGACGACAACGACGAGTGGGAGCTTCCCCCGGGTGTGCCTCGGACCACTCGTGCGGCAGATGAGTCGCGGCCCCGACGAGATGACGATCGGTCAAGGACCGCGCTTGGGGCCCGCGAGGATCGTCGTGGTCCTAAGGGTGAGGGGAAGGGTCGAGGAAAACATCGACCTGGCAAAGGAGGACGTGAGGATCCCGGCCCGCCCCGACAAAGGGATGATCGTGGCAGGGACACCCGCGGAGGCCGACGCGATGATCGCCGACCTCCTCCACGTCATGAGGAGACCTCCGAGAGGCGCGGCCCGGGGCGAGATGAGCGCCGCGGACGTGATGACCCGGGCGATGACCGTCGCGATCGCCACCGGGACCGGCGCAGGGATGACCGACGTCACCAATCAGATCCCCCTCCGCCTCGCCGACCTCCGGCTGGCGACCACAATAGGGGTGGTGGTGAGGATCGCCGTCGGGATGGAGGAGGTGATCGAGGTGACCGTGGTGGACGCCGAAGAGACGACGCGCCCAGGGACCGGGAAGAGCCTGGTTCAGGGTGGTAGACGGGTGCCGCAATCAGCATCCGCCGGTAGACGGGTGCCGCAATCAGCATCCGCCTTAGAAGGGCGAGGATAGTACGTGTGTCGCCGACAAACGCGACCGCGCCGGTCCTCCTCTCGCCCGTGCAGCGCTGCTGGGGGTGATGATCTCCATTGCCCTGTACCGCTGATCCGGCGTTGCTCGTGTCCCTCCCGCACCGCTGCCGTGCGCGCCGGAGACGGTTCCCCTGGCGATCCTGTGTGAGGCTGTGACCGCACTAGAAGTGCCGGGCCGGCCATAGCCGGATATTTTCACACCAATTTCGGAACTTCCGTTTCTAATTTCCTCCCAACTCGACTACTCTTCCAACCGCTCCACGGCGTGCAGTGAGGCGCGGTGATCCAGATAGGATCCCCCTCCGCATGGCATCGTCCCATGACAACTCATGAACGGCACGAGAGGAATCTTCGTCTGGTTCCTCCAATATGTCTTTGTTCACTCATGTGGTCCACTCGTCAAATAATCCTGTCGCCCCGATAATTCGGGGTGGTGGCGGGATTTTAACTGGGGCCCAGGTGATGCCGTTTGGCTCACCTCTGAGTTGACACCGGCATTTTTGGTTGGTCCCTTTCGTCGTGAACTCAACTGTCTCGCATCCTTTCTCTCGTCCTGATATCGGATGAGGGGGGTGTGTTTTGTTCACGTGTTGTTTCATCATGTGGCAAAGCGGCCGAATGGCCGTTTGGCTCAAGTTTAACCTCCCGTCAGGTTAGTTTTGGTAGCACGGCACTCGCCATAGCACGGCATCTCGCTGCGTCGCCGAGAAAGGACTCTCGGCGCTGGGGTGGGCTGGTGCTAGGAGGTAGGTGGTGCTGCGGCAGGACTTGCCTGGGCCTGGTTAAGGTGATCTTTTGCAACTTGCTGTTTAACCTTCACTTCAACCACCTCTTCTTCAATCATCACGTCCTTCAACCTGGTCACCGGCTTCAGTCCACTGAGTCGTGAGTCCGGGTTCTTTGGGTTCTTCGTGGATTACGTGAACCCTTTTGATTCCCTGGGCAACGCCCTTTCCGCCCAAAACCGCAGCCCTGAAGTACTGTGCCCTAGGGGGTCATGACCCCTCCCATGACCCCTGGACCAAAAACCGATGGCTCTGGTGTTTTTCTGTGGTCGGTCGCTCGCCAGGTGGATCCCAACTACCGTGCAGACGCGTCCAAGTCCATTGCCCAGGCCGGTCCAACGCAGCGGGTGGTTTGGGGCTCGTGACTCGAAGGCATACCTTCAAAACCCCCCGTTGAACTTGGCGCTGAAACAGCGAATCGTCCGGTTCAACTTAGAATGTTTCATATTTTTAGTTTGGCGAGTGGTTGAAAACTCCACTTAGCCCACTAAAAGTTAGTCACGTTTAGCAGCAGCCCGGTTTGTAAAGCTTTTCAGAACGGGGACCTTCATAGAATGACACACCCCTGTTCTCATAGATATCCGATGTTTCGCGAGTTCGGGTGAACCGAGCTGTGCTTTTTTGCTGGCGTCGGGTCGGTTCCAATCATGTACCGGCCGCCGGCCACCAGAGCAGCCAAATTCTCGGTAAAAATAAACAAATATCAAAATAGCTTCTCCAGAATTAGCTTCCTCTTTTTTGTTTTTTGCTTTTTTGGGGTTCCCTTTGTTTTCCACTAGCCGGGCAAACATATTGTTTTTGCTGGGGTTCCAGCCAAGATAGGAGGACCCCAACAAATGGTTGCTTCCATTTCGGTTTCCCTTTCAGCCAAACACAAAAAGTTCTTCTCCCTTTAAGCCAAGCTCAAAAAAGGGTACCCTCAACAAAGACATACGCTCGTCCAGAGACTCTCTGGTCCGTCCTCTTGGAACCAAACGATGTTTTTCTGGGTGTGGTCTGTTAGAAGAGTCCCTTGAGGCCACACTGCCTGCAAAATGCATAAAGGGAAAAAGCACAGACTTGCGTGAACACCATGATTGATACCCCATTAATTGAGGGGAGGAGAAGGCTGCTGAAGTGGGTTGTAGGAGGTTCTGCTATCACCAACAACGAAACTGCCACAAGAAGTACATGCCCAACATGCTCAGACATTCCACTGGACGCAAACACACAACCGCGGCGGCTCTTCCACAATTGTGCACGAGGAGATCATACGCCCGAGCACCTGGGAGGAGCAACCGCAACCCCAGCCCGATGACGACTCGCATTGGAGTGATGCGTGGCTTCCAGCCAATGGGTTCTACTGCCGTGGCAGTTTCCACACAAGACATCTTGCAATCACCGCTGCAATGAGGCATGGTGGATTTCGCAGTCACAGGCCAGTGAACATCCCAATCCTCACTAAAATAGGTTCTAAAATGAGTGGTTCACCTACCCGAAAATGGGATCCCATTGGTTTTGACCCACAGCCATGTTAGTGTCCAACTGACATTTTTAAATGAAATGTTGGGGTGTTTGTGCAGGTGCCATGCAAGACGGTTCATGTTGGAGGGGGTTAATAGGAGGTTCTATGTCAATCTGATGAATGTGTTTCTGGATATCTGCGAAAGCGCCATGTGAGCCTTTTCTCTTTCACATAGCTGTGGGTTCCTGGGAGATTGCATGTTGGTAGCATAGGACCTCTTGGTGGTGCCAACAAAGTCGAAAAAGCGAACATGGAAACCGAAGCGACTGCTTGCTGAAGGAAGACCGTTTTTGTGGGGAAGGACCCGTTTGTGCACGCTGTTCTGTGTTGGTCAATGTTTCCCTGATTTTGCCTCATGCAGTTCCACGCTTCCTTTATGTGTTGTCCACTCGATTCCATGAGTCTGGCCAGAAGTAGAACTAGCCGAACGCTTGTACACTACACGGACCAGTGCATGAATCTTAATTCTTTACATGGTTCTCGGTAGACCATTTTAATACCGGGTTTTGATTATGACTCAGCTGCTCCCAAGGCTTTGCAGGAGATGCGCGAAGAGCGAGGCCCCCAATGGCTGCTGGCGGTTGAATACTTGGAGGCCTGGTCCTGGGGGCAGTATTTTGACCGTTTCAAGGGGTTATCTAAAGTCAGAAAATGGTTGGTTGTGTCCCTTTAACCCATCACTTAGGGGGTGACTTTGATCATGGTAAAACAATGAGGCCAGTAGTGTTCGGTGTCCATTACCCGGCTTTGCCGATGGGGGCAGGGGCAAAGACGACCAGAAGCAAAAGGTATCCAGGGGTGCCACCTGAGTATCCGACATTTTCCTGGAACAACTGCTCATGTTCCTTGAATTTTGAGCTCTTTAGGCACCGCCTGTGAGTTTAATTCGTTTGTAGCCACGGTTGATTGGTTGGGGATGTAGCCGTTTCAAAGACAGCATATTGCCGTAAATAGGTGTATGGTAGGCAAGCGCTTCGCTAGATCTCAGTTCATGTGGGCGGGGAATTCCCGGGATTGCCGGCTGGATGGGCGAGAGCAACGCTGAGACCATTCAAAAGCGCTCCGCTGCAAGCCCGTCCCTGGATGGGCAAAAACATCGCGATTTCGCCTAACCGGCCCGCGGGACCGTTGCCTCCTGTGGCACCCTGCCCCCTGGTCAACCCTAAGGGTTCCCTTCTCCAACCAGGGGCCGTCTGAGTGACTGGGCAACTGGGAAGTCGAGTGAAGGGCGTGATCCTGGAGACTCCATTATATAGAGCCTCGTCTAAACCTCGATGTGCAGGTTGAACAAGGGCACTGTCATATCGACCCGGTGCGCAAGCCAAACCGCCACAGGCGTAAGGTCGGGTAAGCAGATGTTGAGGGAACATGGTTTTAATTTATGCCCATATTATGTTTTGATTAGACTAGGTGGTCGAGACAGCGTGTTGTCGAACAGATGGCCTAAAGGTTGTTTCCTTTGCAGCAAGTTCCTTTGTTTATTCTGCCAAAGTGATGGTCCCATCCAAGAGTCATTTTCATCTAGCCCCCAAGGAAGGCACGGCCAGCACCAAATCGCTCCTGCTTTGTGTAGTGTTTGGTCTTTGCATAGACGCGGAGCACCTTCTCCGCCTCCTTCTCTGGATGCGACGTCTCATAGTCAATGTACCGGCCAACACATACCCAAAATATCCCTGGTCTCATGCTGGCGGCAGACTCCAAAAGTACGGAATTGGGATAAGCCCGTTGGGGTGATGTCTCAACGGGCGACATCTACAGAGCCCTCCTAGCAGTTGAACCTCGCCCCCTTGTTGTTGTTTGCTTCAACATGGTGTGTAAACATTGTTGAACCACCCCCTTCAGTCGATTTTCCTGATTGAATTTCAAACATGTTGAACATCAACTCCAGCATTCACTAAGCAGGGCTCCTTAAAAGATACATTTTGCCCATTTGAAACATGGCTTTCTCCGCCAAAACAAAGGAACACCACCATTTACAAGGCAATTTTCAAGTGTATAATGCAAGGATCCCTGTTGATTGAATCTTAAACATGTTGAACATCATCTCCGGCATTCACTAAGTGTACTAAAGGCTCGTTTCAGGCTTTTGGGCTTTTCTCAGAGGCTCTGGTTGGTTGGTTTTCTTCAGCGGCAGGCGGTGCTGGTCTATGACCTCGCATCGCACGGCCACTTCTTTGCAGAGCAGGCCGGAAACGTCGGACGTCGGCCGCCGGGCGCTTCGCGGCGTTTCTTGTTCAGCTGAAAGTCAGGTGCCCCTTACTTGGTGGTTTGGATGTTTTGTCTTTTTTTTGCCCGGCTGAAAGTCAGCTTACCCCGAATTGGTTGATTTGGATTTGAGTGGTTTGGATTTGGGTGTGAAAGCCTGGCAAATGGAGAAATGGGCTAAACGGCTAAACCCTGTGGTCCCTGGTTTAATTTTGACCCATGGGTTTGAGCCACTAGCTTTTGAAACAAGGTGCAAACCACTGCCAGGTCCAAACCACCGAACCACCAATTAGGGGTCAGCTGAGAAAGCTTTGGTTTTGTTTGCCCAGATTTCCCGAGTGGATCGGAGCAGCTTTGGGCTGTTTCGGGTTCAGGGAGGGTGCAGCGGGGATTGCTGTTGGAGATAGCGCCCCGGCTTACTTGTTTTATGAGCACAATCAAAAGCCAGGATTCTGCAAACCCCTAGTTGATCACTGGTGTCCCATTCCACAGACATTTCAGGAACATCCGTCCAATTTCATTTGCAGGTTGATCGACCCAGGGCGGCCAGGACAGGTAAGTCATGTGAAATGAATGGACCATTCGAACACGGGGCCTCTCTTGGCCGCCTTGGCAACACACCGATTTCAAGTTTGCTTCGCCCAGCCTTTTGTCAACAAACAGCTGCATCCCCTAGGCGATCGGCGGTAACCCTACTGTGGATGGACGAAATCCATTTCGCACCACTTAACAACCATGGGAAACCATGGGAAACCATGGTTGGTTGGTATTTACAGGGGAACCATATCATTCCAGGGTTTCTTAGGTGGTGCGAAATGGATTTCGTCCATCCACAGTAGGAAAGAGGGAAGTTCGCCGTGCAAGCTCTGCCTACAACAGGGATGAGTTGACCGGGACTTGCGGTTCCGGCTTCGAGTTTCGGCAATGCTTCTTGCGCCGGGCATGTACTGTATTGTAAAGACAGATGTTGAATTGGTGTCTATGCTGATTGTTCTAGGGGTTGATTCCACATTCGTTTCAACCATCGTTCTGTTCAGAAACCAGCTGTTTCCCTCAATTTTTGGTTTCCTGAAAAGATTCGGATCCCTGGAAAGAATTGGGACGGTAGCCCTAGAATTGTGATGGATCTTCTTATAACCAGCTCCTTGGTGCAGGAGTGCCATGTGGGAACACATTCAGGGCCCGAAGAAAGAAGAGACACGAATGAGTTGAGAAGCGCCCGAAGAAGATTGGCCTTAGCAGGTGCTTCGGTTCTTACCTAGTTTTAAAGAGGTTATGGTGAGGCTTATATTTAATCGATTTTATAACCGGAACCAATAGGCAATGTGTTTCAGGCTCCATTCAGATGAACCTCTAGTCACCGTCCGCTTGGATTGAGGGTATCCCTTTTCAGCGGGAATCCGGATACCGGCAAGCCAACCAGCCATGTGCGAGTCAACCAACCCACCAGACAATATGTTCGGAATCAACTGGTTCCCTTCTAGCATTGGATGGACGAAATCCATTTCGCACCACGTTGAAACCATGGGAAACCAATGTTGGTTGGCATTTACAGGGGGATCATCATTATATTTGGCGAGTCAACTGGTGGAGGGTGTGTCCTTTGCAGCTAATCAAAAGAAGCGCCCTCGCCCGATCAACTTGCACAACCTGGTTCAGCCTTGTCCTCGGGAAATATGGGAATTCACGCAGCATTCGTTCCGTACCCAAAGGGGTACGGGCCAAAATTAAATCACCAGGGAACCGCAGGTTTTAGTCCTTGTTTCCATTTGCCAGGGTTCCATTTTGGGTAATGTTGGAACCTGATCAAAAAAGCTCCCCCCCCCCTGAACAATGGAGGCGCCAAAATAATGTGGGCTCACTTTTGGGACGTCCAAACAATGGAGGATTTTGGGGCCCAACTCTACTTTAGTATTGCAGCCACTTCCTTTTTGCAATTCTACTTTAGTATTGCAACCACTTCTTCCTGAGCAGACTGTTTGGAATACTACTTTAGTATTGCAACCACTTCTTCCTGAGCGGTTTAATACAGAGTTTGCAGTTTCAGGGCTGGGGATGAGTTTCAAATTTCAGAGGTTTCAGCTGGCTTTGGGTTCTGCGGTTGAGCAACCAATTGAAAGGGGAATGCTTTGAAGCAAGTGGGCCACCAATTGAAAGGGGATGCTTTTAAGCAAGTGGGCCACCAATTGAAAGGGGATGTTTTTAAGCAAGTGGGCCACCAATTGAAAGGGGAATGCTTTTGAGAAAAGCAACTGATAGTGTATTTTCTGGGAGGGGGGGCTGGGGGCTTGCAACTAATGTGATCCCCTAAAAGAATCACATTATCGTGGTTCAGTGCGGTCTGTGAGGGGTACCCTTGTCCTGATTGTTTTTGTTTTTGCATTTTTTAATCACGGTTTAATAAAGAGTTTGCAGTTTCAGGGCTGGGGATGGTTTTCAAATTTCAGAGGTTTCAGCTGGCTTTGGGTTCTGTGGTTGAGCAACCAATTGAAAGGGGAATGCTTTTAAGCAAGTGGGCCACCAATTGAAAGGGGATGCTTTTAAGCAAGGAAGCCACCAATTGAAAGGGGAATGCTTTTGAGTAGAGCAACTGATCGTTTTTTCCTGGGAGGGGGGGATGGTGTTTTAATTTGATTTTTTTTTCGGAAATTTCCCCCCGGGCAAAACAACTTTCAATTATTCTGGTCCCCCTCAACAATGGGTTCGAACCAGAATAAGGAAAACAACTTTCCATTATTATAGTCCAGTTTATTAATCAAGTGCCAACATTACTGTTTTTTTGACCCGCAGCCAAGTAATGATTGGGGGTTAGGGCCATTCTATGCGTGATTCCAACTTGGCCTTTCCCCGCTTTTCCAATCCCAATGCCAGCCTCAAACCCATCCTAAACGCAGCGGAATTTGAGCCTCAACCTAACCACCCCGAACCCACCCCACGGTAAACCTACCCCCCACACCCCTAAACAACCGAACCCTAGCCATGCCCGACTTATAATAAGTGCATTTGCCGCGGTTCCCCCTTCTGTTTTGCTGCCAGCAACATGGTGCCCAGTAAGTTTTGTTTGACGCCTCATCCTGGGGAAGGGGCATAGGGGTCGTTAAGTTTGAGCATGGGATTCGACTTTAGTTTGATTGTATTTGTTTGTGAGTTGAAATCACCAAAAATTAGCCAAAACGGACACCTGCCTAGGCCACTTACACGCATATTCCCTGGCAAGCAAGCAACAGGTGTGTGTCATCAAATCGGACCCCCCCGAAAAAAAGGCTTTTGTTTTTCTGTTGGTTTCCCTTCAGATCTTTGGGGGTAACATCCAAAAGCAGGGTTCCTGGGCGGATACATTCAAGAACCTGACTTACAAGGATTTGAATCCTCCAGATTCACTCGTATTTTAGCCGGTAGAACATGATCCCCACACTGCTGCTGGCTCGCGAACAAGTACCCTGACTACAAGCCGATCTACACCGGGATGGTGGTCGAGACCCTGTTCATGGGCTCGGTTGCGAGAGTGAAGACCCGTGGCATACTTTCTCCCCCCTGTAAATGGACAACAGTCCACTTCGCGCCGGACCCTCAAGCTTCACGTTTTTTTCCTTTAAACCAACACCAACACCATAAGTGCAACCCTTCCTCAAACTTGACGGAGCCTCGAAACCAACCTGGACCCCCCAACCCCCAACTCCGGAGACTCTCCGGAAACTCTGTGTGTTTTCTCTGAGCTCAGGGGGCTCAGGCACGCCAGCACTGGGCACCCGCAAAAAGCGCCCTGATTGCATCGTATCGCTCAGGGCGGCCTTGCGCTGGTCATGGCGGAGCTGCCGTACGGCCAGGCGAGTGAAGAGAATTTGGGGAGGTGCCCCTCGTTTTTGGGGAGGGCCGCTGCTGCGGGGCTTGGGACATCGTTGCTTGGTGTTTTTTTGGGGGAAGCTGGTTCCTTGGCTTGAGGTATCCCATTTGAAGGCAAGGAGACTTGTGGGGTTTGAAGGCAGAGCCGCCCCAGACGCAAACAAACTGAGGGCCTTCCCACCCTCAAAGGCCTCGCAAGATGAGTTAGTTTGTCTTGGGCTAAGGGGAGGGAAGTATAAATTCTGGGGGCAGTTTCTCGAAAAGGCAAAAACTCCACTGTCGGTTGGTGAAAGGGAAACCAAATGGATGCCACGCATGGCATGGGGGCGACCAGGGGACCCTTATTTTGAGAAACACCCACGGCCCTTGTGCCAGGATCAGGTCTATCGCCCCAGTCGAACATGGGGAGGGGTTTGCATCCCGTAGGTGTCCTTTTTAGGTTTGGTTGATAATATAGATGGCACTGGTTTAGCCATTTACTAGGGGCCATCTATTTTTCTAAAAGGCCTCCTATGTGCATACATGGGTCAATTTGTCTTGGAAGACTCTTGCAAGGATGGGACGCCCTGCTTCGCAGGATTCATGTAACCTGATGGATTAGTGTTGGGGTGTTGTTCCCCCGCAATAGTGCAGATCCCCTCTAAATAGCGACACCCAATCAAAGTCAACGGTTGAATCCTGGGTTCCCATTCAATGAGGTCAGGGGTGCAAGTAGACACAGCTCAGGGCTTTGCAGATTCAGTCATGGGACAGGCTACCACCATGTGCTTCCTTGCTTAGCTTGCGGGACACTTTGGGCACATGGTTTGGAATCCAGAAAACACACATCAGAGGGGCCACTGGCAAGACACAACACCCCCCCCAAAAGAAAGAGCAAATCATCCAAACATTACGCACTACTGTAACCACCCTTTTATGACAACTAGCTTGAGTGGACGAAATCACGCCACGTGTTCGTCTGCTGGATCATCCTAGGGACCCGCGGGTCAACAAAAAACGCGATTTTACTCTAGGTCAACGGTCACTTTTTGGTGCCATGTTGCTACTATTTTGGCAGGATGGAAGTGAGAAAGATAGATCCCCCTGCGTTCCCCTTCTATTTGCCCATGCCCAGACATGCCATGTCAGCAGGATCTTCCAACATCTACAGTAGCCTACAGAGCGTTTCTGCTCTGTTACTGCATGTTACGCTCATGAAGTTTGTTGCACATGTTGGGGTACAACCGCATTGCAAAGCATCCTAGCGACAATCGGGTTTCGCATCAATTCCCACTAGCCACAAGGCCCTAGGAGCCCCGAGAGCTCATATATGAAGGCTTTCTGTTCGAGACCTGCGCTGGGAGGCACCTCTAGACAAAACCTTGAACAACAAGGTCTCGGAATTAGATAGCTCAGAGGGGGCCAAGGCCTGAATATAAAGGCCTCAGGTTGAGGGATCCACTGGTAGGTCAGGTGCCCTCTCCCTGCCTGTGTTCAGAGCAAAGAATGAGATATGAGTATGTGTTGATCATGCAAAACCGCAAGATTGGCAAGCCAGACTTTGTATTTTTCCGCATGAAGACAGGCAGGCTTGACACTAAACCACTTTCCAGAAAAGTTTCCCACTGCAACAATGATGGATGCCAGTCAAAGCAAAAACGAAGACAACAAAATTTCCTGGGCTGAAGAATGGCTTTTCGATAGGAGCGCAGGCCAAAATTAAACCGCGTTAAAATGCGTTAAAATGAACCCCCCGAGGCCTATATAACAAGGCCTCGAGTTCAATCGCGTTAAAACACGTTAAAACGAGTTAAAATGCGTTAAAACGAGTTAAAATGCCTTAAGCCACGTAACTCAGATCATAACATTCCAACACAATGCCTGAACAGGTGCGAGGACAAATGCACAGAGCTGAACCTAGTGCAAACTTGCATGAACTGCATAGCTTGCTTGTGTGCAATACAATGTGTCAGTGGTTCCTAGGATTAAGTCCATTCGAGATCTTCTTGTACGGGCTGCCTGATCACAGTTGTCTGCGACATTTGGGCCTGACAAAGCCACGAAAAAAAACACGTCCTCGTGGGGCATGCCGCTGTCAACTCTTCCCAATTTTCTGAGACCCTATATTTTAAGGTCCCGACCCCGAGACCCTGAAATATGAGGTCCTGGGGTCCTAGGGAGGATTGAATCACCTGCACAACTTGATTGCAGGTGCATTCAGATCCGAAGGTTAAAATTGGAAACCCAAAGCTTCACTTGCTCCTCGACAGCCTCAACAAAAGCCGTTCCCTGCTTATGGCAGGTTCCTTTTTGTGGGTCCATCGGTGGGTGACATCCTCAAAGTCCTATGCTGACATAAAGGGAAACACCCCAAAGGTAATTTCACGAACTCAACGCGTTCGGCACCCAGCAACTTTCCCAGGTCGATGCAGTATACCCCCTGCTGGTGGCGGTCTTGCGCTTGCAGCTGAGGAGCCATGGTTGCGGTTTTGGCTTTCCAACCTTCGACTTTGGGGGTCTGAAGCGAACCGAACTATTCTCAAGATGACGCCTGCCTTGCGTTTTTTTTGGGTTTCCCTTCAAATTTCGCATGCGAGTCATGAGAATGACCGACGTGGGGCCCCCGACTGAAGAAACAGCGCGATCCAGTTTCAGGGAGATCCAAAGCGCGCCTCTCTTGCGCTTGGGGAAGGGGGGCTGGTCGGATGTTTCCCCCTGGGGTTGGGAGCGCTGTCCGCCAAAGTCTTCCTGTGTCAGGAGGGATTCCCCGGGCTGTCCGCATGCGCGATTTCTTAGAAGCGAACCTGTTTCCTAGTCTTCAGGGCCTCAGGGACGATGCATAGGGATTTTTCGAGGAATTTCTCGACGGGTCGAAACCTTTTCATCACGCTGCCCCGCAGCCCCCTTGTTCTGGCCTCGTACTTGGCAATAGACATGCAAGCAAGCAAACAGTAGGCCAGATATTGGAGGCCGTTTTTTTTTGATATTTATATATATTCCCCTTGGATTTAAACCTCAGCTTTTGGGCCCCTTGGGTGAGTCCTATGTCTCGGAAAGGTCGGGAACTGCTGTACTTAGTCATGAGGGAGTGACCCGTCCGGTATGGTTTCCCTCAGAATCCCTGGCTTCATTCCCGAAACCCTATCGCACCAGCAAGTACAAGTTGCAACTTGCGTCTCAAAACGTTCAGCCGAGATCTTTTTCGGCAAAGTGGATCCGGCACTCCCCTTTGGAACGTGGAATCCGACAGGATCCGGGAGATTGACAGGATGGCTCTTGGGCTTCCACGCGGGGAGTTGTCTACTTTGAAGCGGGCAAAACGACATGTGGTAGGCTCTCTTTCAGGCTTCGCAGGGACGGATGCCGCGGAGCTGGCAGTGCTTCTCCGGGAACGCTTGGGGTTGTTGCGCTGCCGGTTCTGCTTGAACTGGGGACCGTGTTGGCATGAAAGCGAGTCTTGCAGAAAGTCGGAAAGCGACCCAAACCACTCAATTAGACGGGCCGGTCGACATTCATCGTTGATCGCGATGATTCACTTTGGTATCACAAGTGATGCAAGGGGTTTGAAGAACGAGCCGCAGTCTGATTTGCAGAGATGTACATGGGCAGAATCAACCGCAGAGACATGTTCAGCCGGTTTTGAGTTATGACCATGATTCAAAGGGAACCAACCGTAGTTGCTCCAATTGCAACCACCTACAGCCTACTAATGCAACGACCCAACGGTCACTTTCTGCTCCTTCACCAATCTCCGAAATGTGAAATGGCGCAACAGCAAACGTGCCACGAGGGCTTTGCTGATTCCTCATACAGTCCCCATACATTGTCCCCATGTGGAAGGGCAAACTTCATATTAGGAAGGGGTATCATGACTCACATTCTTCCCACGAGGCTGGACTTGATTTGTGAGACTTTGAGCTGACGAGAGGCAGCAAAAAGTAAACGAAGCGCACTGTGTGGGTCTTCCTTCAATAACGTTGTCAAAATAAGGTGCTTCTTCGTGGGCAACCACTTGGCGGGCCACAACGAAGCCAGGATCCAACAAAAAGGTACCAGAATTGTTGCTTGACACTTCCACTGCCTCCCCGTCCCGCATTTTCTCACCCGGGTGTAAAATCCTCATGTCCAGCCCCATGTTCCTTCCTGGCTCGTCCACTTCTCCCCGCGTGCTCCAAGCGGGGGACTACCTTCGGAGGAGGAATCCTTCGGTGGGAGAGGGGTCAGTCTCACGCCCTGAGTTGGACTTTACCCTCCCAATTCACATGGAACCTGCCGGTGAGTTTTTTAGGAACATGGTCTTCCAAGACCTACCAGGTTCTGTGTGAATGAATTGGTGGGAGGGTAGACTTGTTGGGAGGAACATCTCAGTGCCAAAAACCGCTCAGATTTATTTTTTGGCCCATGCATGATAATATCAAGCAAGATATGTTCAGAGGACACCCAAGGGCCCTAGGCCTTGCTACACGGTTTCTTCGGCGTCTTCCAATCCGCGTGGCGATCCGCGCGATTCGCGTGCCATGGCCACCATGGACTCCCTGGAGGTGGAGCAGCCCCGCGCCTCCGGGGCGTCTCGCCGGTCCTCGGCGCGGAGCTCGGTGGTGGACGTGGTGGGCCTGGGATCCTACGTCCAGGTGGAGACCAAAGGCCTCAGCATCTGCCAGGCAACTTGGCAAAGGGTTTGGGTCTCTCGTGTTTGGCGAAGCCAAAAGGGTTTGGGTTTCTCGTGTTTGCCGGTTTGGGTGTCCCCCTTCTTTGTGGGAAACCAAAAGGACAACCACCGTTTTGGCGACTTCCTCCTGTGTTTTTTCGTTTTTTGCCCAGTGCAGGTCTTCATTTACTTGTAAAAACAAATGTTTCTTTTGGTAAACCCCCAAAGAATTGTGGGAAACCTAAAAGGACCACTGCCAGTTGGGGTACCCTAAAGCAAGACACCCATGTTTTTTTTCCCGGTGCGTTCGTTATGTAATACTGT